CCAAAACATTATGTTGTCCCGGCTTATACTTCACCTCGAAGTTATGCTCCGCGAAAAAGGAGAGCCAACGAGCCATTCTCTGCGCGAGATGAGGCGACTGTGTCGCTGTGCGTAACGACGGATGATCGGTATAGATCACAAACGGCTTTGGGCCCGACAGGTGTTAACTTGCGCATACTCATGCAACCGAGCACAGCTCGCAGGTGCTCAATGTGGTTCTCCACATCAGGCTTTCCATTTTCGGCTCGACTATGGACGAATATATCGTCAAAGTATGTCTGTGCGTACGCCCTATGGGGCCGAAACAACTGCGCAACTAGTCAATTAAACGTTGCAGGTGCGTTAGACAGCCCCTGATGCATCACTAACCACTCCCAGAGCATACCGCTCGGAGTACTGACCGCTGTCAGTGGGATATCACTAGCTCGCATGAGCAGTTGGTAATATTCATCGACTAAGTCGAGGGCACTGTACATCGCACATCCCACCAAATTGTTCTGAAGAACTTTCTTGCAAGGAATCGGTGTTTGAGCCGGGATAGTGGCTGCATTCAGCTTATTGTAAGCATGCACTATTCGCCACTTCCCACTAGGCTTTCTCACAAAAAACTTGGGCGTAGAGTGAGGAGACTTACTCTCACGCACCAGGCAAGATGCGTGCTTTGCAAGAACGTACTCGTCAATGACGTCACATTGTTCTCGTGGCAGCGGCTACTGTCGCGTCACACAGTATTTGGTTCCTGGAAGCAAGTCAATCTCATGACGTATACCTCTATCCGGAGGTAACCTCGTAGAAGATTCTTTGGAGACACATCTCCATATCCCTTCAACAAAGGAAAGTAAAGATCCGATGAGTCCTTTGGGATCTGTGATCATCTGCGCGCATTCAACACCTTCTTGGTATCCTCAAGAACTGCCTCAAAAGCTATGAGGGGTTCAACTCCTTCTCAGGTCGTATAACGACCACATCGGCGATGTCGCCTGCCTGTAAGGCACTGCCAAACTCGGCAAAGGACAACGTTCAGCTCTAACAGAGCACTTACTGCGGGTATAGCTGAAAGATCCACCGGCTCTTTAACATCCCCAGTCAAACCATTGACGAGTATATATAGCTGTTCGATATCACCGTCACTCACGATATCATCATTTCTACTCATGATGCTCTCAGCATCCGACGCATCAGCGTCCACAGGTGTACACACCGCAAGGCCAAACATCACTTCGTTTACTGACTGCACCCCACCCTCTTGGGTCAATGCCTCGTCATGAGGTGCTCACACCTCGTTGTCCTCAAATAAAACCGTCATTTTTGACTTCACCCAACCCTCTTGGGTCAGTACCTCGTCGTTAGGTGCATACACCTCGTTGTCGTCAAAAACAACATCCATTTGTGACTTCACCTGACCCTCCGGGGTCAGTTCCTCGTCACTCATGTCACTTGGACTCGTCTTTTGATATCTTGGCTTGCAGCCACCAGCACCACTCACGGTGTTTAATGATGTAACATCATTTTCATGACACATGTTATATGTGCCATCTAGTTGGTTTTCAACCACCCTATCGACAGTCCTTGGGCATCGCCCAGGACTATTGTCCTCGACACTTACAGTGTCTACAAAGTCTGATAACCCGACATCCAACATATTGACCGATTCGGTCCAATATCCACGCCTTTTTTTGCTTCCTAGCAGAGGTGGATTGATGACTCTTTAGATCCCCACCAAAAGCATTGCTTGTTGCTCCTAAGGTCTTCGACCTCCAATCAATCCATGGCTCATGACGTTCTATCCATGCCATGACTAGGATGAGGTCATACCTCGAATCCAGGTCTAAGACCAAACAGCGTTCCATGCGATTTACATTTAAGTCCATCGGGACTTTGAGTACCGTAACACGCGTACCCGTCGCTAAGCGAACTGTGACTGTGTCACTCTCATGCGCTCTAAGCGCTTCAGCATACTACTGACTACCTTCCACGGTGGCACGGTGGACGTAATTGCCTGATGCCTCCGAATCGATCAAAATGATCCATGGCTTATCAAAGCCCTTAACTGTCCCTTCGACGGCGAGGAAGCCTGGCTTGAATTCTCGTTCCATTTTTGAGAGCTCGGGCCTCTTTGGGGCTGGAACCTGTTTATTTCTACCTTCTAGAGGCTCAACAGAACTCAGTTCTTCCCGAGTAGGGCGACCCGCACCTACTGGATTCCGTCGTTTCCCCGCGGCAAACCAGAGGGCTTACCCATGGGGCGTCGGCACTATGAGACCAAAGATGCCTTTCGTGCAGGGCATTTTACAATCAAATGACCAGTGTTATTGCAGATATAACATCTGCGCACACTTTGCTGCTCCGCAGCATGAAGCTCAGCTTCTTCATCCTGCACTTGACTACAGTCCCATGGGTACAGACCTATCAGACGAGTAGTTATAAGTGGCAGGCCTAGCGGACTCAAAGTTGGTCTTAGAATTCCATGCCACTCCAACAGCTTCCTCGAATAAGGGCGGGTTTACCCGGAAGACTTCCGTTCTGGCAACGCCAACTCGGAAGCCTTCCATAAAGACCGTGACGGCCACTGCATCAAACATAGTGTCTATGACCATGGCATCAAAAAGAGTTCTCAACGCTTGCACATATGCCGCAAGCTCACGCTTTCCTTGGTGACATGCCGAAAATCGCGACCGATTACGGTGTGCCTGGCTTGGCGGTGCATACTGCCAGGTCATCTGAGCTTTCAGATCGGCCCATGTTGGAAAAGCATCTTGCAGTGATACAACGCATGTGAACGCCCATTGCTTGACTAATCAACACAACTTGCCCGTGGCAAAGCCAACACGGTACGGTTCATAGGTGATATCGACTATAAACATAGCCGACTCCACCTGTCGAAACCACAGCATAAGATTATCACCTTCTTTGCCGTCAAACTTATCGACTTCCATTTGTATGGGTTTTGGTCTGCGGACAACTCCTTGCGCCATAGTCGCCATTGCTGAAGGCGCAAAAGAAGCTTTACATGCTCGACTAGAGCTTTATTATATTCTTCAAGCATACGAATAAGCTTGCTAACCTCTTCTTTACCTTGGGTACTGAGGTACTCCACGCCCTTACGGCCAAGGATAGGGAGCAGCTTCTGCAGCCCTTCCTGTTGTGCCTGTGACAGGCTAACCGCTGACGTCTCATCAATGTCCATTCTCACACAGAGAAGTAGTCGCATATCCAGGTGCGAGATTGACTACAAGTGCTATAAATGTAGCCGAGCTACTTTAGCCAATCTACTTATCCACTACGTGCAAAGGAAGACAAGCTCCGAGAGCCTCTACGTCTTAGGGCTTAACCCTCTTAACACTTCCAAGGCTAGCTCGTAAGCTTGTGCCTTTAGTTTTGAACAACCGCGTCTCCAAGATACTTAGTATTAAAGATACAATCACGCAAAAGGAATAGAACGCTCTAGCACTTGTGCTATTCAGAGCAGGTTTGAAAACTGATTTATTTTTATGTTTATCTACGAGCACTAAATATAGAAGCACCTACTCTGTACTTAGTGCTAGTCACTATTTACTGGCTCTGTAGCCTATCAATATGCAAACTTGTATAGTCACTATGCTTATCTATGTTTAGTCACTATGATTAACTAAGTATAATGACCACGTGGCTCTCTGCCACGATGCGCCCCTTCGTACCTTAGGTACGGTCACATCGAGCCTACTCTTGTACCCAAAGGTACAGCCACACCACATTGGTGTGGCAGGTGTGTATGTACAATACACACCTTTGTGTAACTCCGTTACATCCTTCTTTTTGCACATGTTCCAGCCGTCGTATATCAATTTAGTATTCCTTCAAAGCAGCAGAATTGCAGTGTTTAATGAAAACGTGAAGTTATTAGCGGTAATCAAAGATTGAAGCTATGTCTCTGACTTGATGACAGCAGGTAAGTATGTTTGGCCAATACAATTGAACAAGAGAGGATTGCAAAACGACGAGTCGATCAGGGAAATGTGCAACGTTAGAGCAATGTACGCTATCGCATGGCAAAGGATAAAGGCATTATTATCAATGCTAGTAGTAGCTGATTTACAACATCTACCTCAGCTTGTATTGTAAATGCAGAATACTCATTCCTTACCATTGATTGAAGCCATTTGTATACCATAAATTGAGTGTAATCACTCACTTAGAGCTTCCCAGCAAGCCATAGAAGATTTTTCGTGGTTAAAACATCGATGTCTGGACCATTGATGCGTCAACAAGCCTGATTCCAAATGCTCCTTGCATCTTCAGGGTACAGTTTCCCTCTTCCTTTTAGTAGACTCGTTCGAAATCTTTGGTGGATGCCTCCATTCATGTATCATTTTCAAGTAAAGGTCTATTTCGGCACGACTATCATGATTTTTTTTTGAGCAGTAGTTTGAAACGTTTTCAGTGCTTGGTCCAATTCTGTCACAAACTTATCCATGTAAAAATTGTGCTTTGACACTTTAAGATGTGTCATAATATCTGGCAGATAATATGTCTCCAAAAAGATCGTTAAAGGTAATTGTGTGTTCGCTGGGTAACGAGTATTGAAAGCTGCCACGTATCTCATCCATTCGGTAAAAGCAGGAGCTAGGAAAGGGTTGCCTTCGACAGTATTAGTTAGAATTGGTAAAACTTCTTGCGGAGTTTTTTGTGTATCAAGCCATGACCGAGTCAGCTCGTCAAATACTCGACGTGAGGCTTTCCCCATCCTGTATGAGTCGAGGCTCGAGGAATACAGCGCATCTAACAATTCTTTGTCGCCTTTATACGGCAGAAGTTTAAGGATAAAATTTTCTGCCTCCTCGGGATGCTCTATTTTGTAAGCATCCACGTAATCCATCCAGTGAAGAATAATGTCATTCCGAAAAAGCGAAAGTCTTTTTTTTGTCAAGATGCCACGTTTATAAAAAAAAATAGGAAATTTTTTAAAAAACAAAAACCTAAATCCCACATATTTGTATTGAATGGGGTCCATCTTGTCCGCATTAAATCGTCCCATTGCAGCTTGTAAAGACAGTGTCAGGGCTAGTCATTGTAGCCAAAAACTTTTGTTGATCTTTCCGCTGTGGATTAACACGTTTCCAATCTGCTGCTTCAATAACGCTTGCCAAACCATTGTCCTTGTAGTATTTCTCAATGACTTCTGTGCGCGTCATTTTGCTGATGGGGTACCGTTCGTTAAAACGCTGAACGTAATTGACCCATTCTCCCAACAGCGGGTTGCCTTGGATAAGCTGTTTCGCAATCTCAGAAGACACTTTTTCAAGAGCTATTTTAGGTGGTGCGCCTTCTTTCAGTTGCCGCAGCAATTCGGCTGTTTGTTTTGTAGAAGGATCAGACAAACCATCCAAAATTATCTTGTCCATACGACCAGGGCAAGTGTCTTCCACAACACGAAAGACCGTCGTTTGACGACCGGAATTCTCGATATTATAGAGTTTCATGTACATGTGCCAATACTTGAACAACTCATCGCCAAGAAGGTTGCCCGTCACCATAGGAAGCTCCAATTTCACAAACAATTCTTTGGGCTCAACTCGATCATTCAGGTCCGACACCAGCATCCGCCATGCGTGTGTATCCTTGTTAATATTATCGAGACTCATCATTTTCTTCAACATTTCCTCCGGAAAGCTAGCTTTTAGGCAATCCAAAACTCGTACTGGTTTATGGTAGGAAAACTTTTGGTTGTAGCGCATTAAGTACTCCAAAAACTTAGCGAATTCCGGGTTGCTCAAAAGGTGCTCATTCTGAAGCTTCAAATTTGTCAAAACTTTTACTGGCGTTGTTACTTTACGAAGCCAAAGATCAATGCGATCCTTCACTGCAGGCGTTAGTTTTGCGGCCAGCACAATGTCAGCAAGATTAGGAAAAGATCTCTCTTCGCTTTCCTTGTCGTAAGCTTTTACGTAACTCGAATGAGAACCTTCAGTTTGCCCACCCAGAAGTAAAGGTGTTGTAAAGTTGAATGGCTCAGCGTCTGCATTGGCTATCAGAAGCCAGACACCAATAGCCACAAACACCGTGCAGATCCGATTACGCATCATCCACGGGCGGTACAGAGCTTGACTGACAGTAAAAAAGCTTTTGTGGCGGTAGAAGAGTAAGTTTTAGACGGTTGTAGGAGACTTTGTGTGACGGTAAAAGACCTTGTGTGGCGGTAGAAGACCGTGAGTCGCAGTTAAAAAGCTTGAGCGGCAATAAAAGACCTTGAGCGACGATAGAAGAGCTTGAGCGATAACAAAAGTGCTTCAACGACGATAGAAGAGCGTCAACGACAATAGAAGAGCGTCAACGACGATAGAAGAGCGTCAACGACGATAGAAGAGCGTGAGCGACGGTAACAAAACTACAGCGGCAGTATAAGACCTCCAGCGGTGCTATAAGACCTTGTGTAGCTGTAGAAGACCTCGTGTGGCGGCAGAAGAGATTGTGTGGCGGAAGAAGAGCTTGTGTGGCGGCAGAAGAGGTTTTACAATGGTAAAAGGGCGTCAACGACGGTTGAAGAGCTTGAGTGGCGGTAAAGGAGCTTGTGTGGCGGCAGAAGAGCTTGTGTGGCGGCAAAAGAGCTTGAGTGGGCGGCAGAAGAGCTTGAGTGGCGGTGAGGACTCGTCGATCAATCAGGATTGGGAAAAGAAGTCTTTTTCGATTTCCTGTATAAACTTATAGCTGAGCATGACTAATCAACGAGAGCAACCAAACAAATTGTCAGCTACTCATTGAAATTAATTCTGCTTGACACTTGATTATTGTATAGTGTGATGCCATTTATTACCTTTGACATGTTATTCTTGTCAGCTCCGGCAGTGTGATTTAAGTGGCCAACACGTCACACACGTATAGTAAGTAGTATACTAGGTTCGGTCTATTATATACGCTCGTAACGCTTTGGCATTTCAAACCTATGGCAACCCTGTCGTTGATTAGCAACAACAATACTACGATATCATATATAAAAGCCACAAGGCAATGAAAAATATGACCCACGTGCTTAACGTCGGTCGTTAGCACCTCATGACTCAAAAACGAGTACAATCCGGCATCATGCTCTCCTTGAAATTGCGTGATACCATTCTACATCGCACTACCAGCAGGCGAATCGTACATTTGATAGTTTGAATGGGACTTTGCACGTGAGCGGCTAAAGTTTCTTGGACGTGCACTGCCTGGCGTCCGGGCACTGCGACGAGACGCTCGGATGCGGCGTAGACGTGTGCGCTCCGCTTCCATCTCCCCCTTGGTGCACAACATGCCGTTCTTGAGAGTACCCATCGTGAACAACAACCCCATTAGCACGGCGCAACAGCCACTTAATCCAAACAGATACAAGTATTCATTGCCAGCCATCGACTCGTTTGACCGGATAAAAGTGGCGCAAACGGGCAGCAGGAAGAATACCATAAAGTAAACAGTCACATACATCGCGCGCTTCTTCGTGGTAAATAGACCAATGCACGACACCCATGGCACCGAGGTGATTCCCAAACCAGCGAAAAAATATAGCAACAGACCCACGATCTGCAGCATCAGGTACTCGCTGTCACCCGTCACAAAGACCGACTTGTTGTTCACGCCAAGAATACATACCAGTGCCGCAATCGGTAACAACGTGCAGTACAACATACGTTTGTGGTCGATGCGGTCCATAAAAAAGAAAGAAAATAACGCACCAAGGAATTGAAGCGACGTGCAGTTTACAAACATGTAAGTTGTATCATCAATACCGCGGAACGAATCGGACAAGTACATGTTCACACAGCCAAGGAAGATACTGGATACCAGCACTAGGAAAAGCCCGACCAAGAACTTCACAAACGATGTGCCGCCGTTAGCACTTGAGTCGTCGCTCCCAGACTCTTCGTCACGAATCATTCGCAATTCCTCCGATACGCCTTCCTTACGACGCAAAACAGCAAGACATCGCTCGCACGACTCAAGGCCT